AGAATAACTTAGCTAAACAGCAAAGCTAGGATTGCAAATATATCTACAATAAAAGTAGTTAGAGTAACTACTGCTACCTTCATCCCACTGTGTATTTTCTGTATCTCTTCACAAGAATCAGAAGGAAATGCACTAAAAGTACCTGTTCCATTTCAAAGATGCATGGTTTATATCCAAATGCCTAAATGCACTTAAAACAAGGCCAGTCCTCAACTCATAAAGCAGTCATTAAAACCCATCACTGAAGCTACTGGTGCACTTGACTTCAATCCAAACCACAGTCCTAAAGAAACCACGGGAAAGGATGTTTCAAACTAATAACAAATGACTCAAGATCAGTGTTCCAGTCCCAACTTATGTTATCGAATTCTTTTCTGATATATGGAACCCAGTAAGGCAGTATTTAGGGGAAAGCATAGCATTCATATAAACCCCTTTCCTTGTATAATAAGACATTGTATACATATCAGGGATGATTCTGACCTTCATTCATTTGTCAGACATTAACTGGACATCTATACTCTGTCAGAGGCTCTTGCTGGAAATCAGACCACTCCTGGCCTTACAACATCCAACAATTTACCAAGCCATATTAGAAAATATATACTCTTAGAGAGGATCCTTCTCATTATTGACATAAAAATCAAGATAGGCCGGGCGTGGTAGCTCACACCTGTGATCACAGCCCTTTGGGAGCCTGAGGCGGGTGGATCACCTGAGGTAAGGCTTTCAAGACCAGCCTGGCCAACATGGCAAAACCCTGTCTCTACTAAAAATACAAAAATCAGCCAGGTGTGGTCACGGGCCCCTATAATCCCAGCTACTTGGGAGGCTGTGGCAGGAGAATCGCTTGAACCCAGGGGCGGAGATCACACTACTTCACTCCAGCCTCAACGACAAGAGCAAAATTCCATCTCAAAAAAAAANAAAAAAAAAAAAAAAAAAATCAAGCTAATTTTTACACAGGCCAAAATCAGAGTTGCACAATCCAGGTTCTAGAGCCTATGTGGTTTATTAATTAGCTAGTCTTCGAAAAGCTCCCTGATCTACTTGGTTTCATCTTATACATATTAACAACAGATTTGGTTTTCTAAGGATGTATGCTGGATGGGCCGCCTACTAGCTTAATGCCCTGAGGCAAGAAGTTACTTTACTCTCTGAGCCTGGGTTTTCTCACTGGAAAAATGAGAATAAACAGCTACATTTCAAGACTGTTGTAAGGAATACATATAGTTACGTAATGCGCCAACACAGAGTCTGGCGTTTAGTCTGGCACTTAGAAGTACAATAAGTATAGCTAATATCATAATTACAGGCATTGTAAGTCAATCACAAATTGATCAGAAAAGTCAAATTACAAAAACACTGAGGGACAGAAGCAAAAAGACTAAAGGCAGCTCTGGCAATAAATAGCTGACAGCAAGGAAACAACCAAGAAACTACACAGACACAAAAGCTCAGAAATTACAGACTGAAGCCAACAGCCCACACACTTCAATAGCTGTTGAGGACATCTTTAATGTTTTCATAAAATGCAACAATGATGTGCCTGAAGATGACATTAAACCCTTTAAACAGATTAAACTTTTATTCCATGTGTTTAAAAAAAGATAAGCACATAATTGACTTGGGAAAGATTCCTATCAAAATCGATTTAGCATCACAAACTTAACTCGTTAGATATCTGAACTTTAATTAACTGCAAAACTCTAGTACCAAGCTTCTGTTACACTTAATATGTAAAGGAGCCTCCCGAATTTCAGGTGCCATTTTTTCTACTAAACACTGAAAAAGATGTATTTCAAACAAATTAATTACTAAATACTTAAATGCAATGGCCTAAGACATCATCAGTTTCTTAATATCTAAAACAAGATAAAGTTTTTGTCTTCCTCATGGCTAAATGTTGTTAGATCTACCAAAGAGACAAAAACATGTGCCACAGAAATCCCTTTTACTTGTATTTTCTCTCTACATTTGGAAGGCAGTAAAAATCGAAAAACATCTGTTCCTTCCTGCAACACTGACAACCCTCATTCTATGGTTTAAAAATAAAAGATCCTTATGGAAGCTTATAGATATAATAATCACCTGCTTCAAAGGCAGCTGGCAATTAATTGATCCAAATATATGCAAAATTAAGGCCAAAGAGAAATTTCCCTAAGGACAATGCTAGTGTTCCCCTAAGCCTCTGGTAATTTCCAAGACACCCATAAAAAATAGGGGAGGAAGGCAAAGAAGCAAATGTCGTGCCAGATGACATGAAGAGTTGACAGCTAAGAAACAAGGACCTGTGTCCATCTGGATTCATTCTACCACCATAAGCACAGTTTCCATGAGAGCTGCTTAGAGAAAATCTGGTTCACTCTGGCCAACAATCACCCTTCATCCAGCTCAAGGAAGGCCAGATGTTCAACCATTAAAAGAGTATACCTTATTAAAAACAGAAACTGGAAAATCTAATTAAATAAAGGCCCTGAATCCTATAACATTTTTTGTAAACAGTTTTTACCATCCATATGGTCCTAAGACACTGAATATCCAAACAGAAATGATACAGACATTGGACTTGAATCATTGACTCAGTTTCTATTTCTGGATCTGCCTCTGAATGAATCACAGTGTGACCTTGAGAAAGTTATTTCACCTTTTTCTCTATCTAGATTTCCCCACCAGTTACAAAGTTAGGTAAAACTGACTGATTCTTTTTTCCCAAACAATGCTGAGTGAATGAGATAAATATATGGAAGCCACTACACAAAAATATATTCGCCGATTACCATCCAGCTGTATCCAACCATCAAATACAAAATAGATGACGTCCATGTAAAAATGACTAGCTCTGCACTTTCACTCTGCACAATTTAAAAAACAAATCGCCTGGAGAAGTCAGCAAAACCCAGGTGATTCTTATACAGGACTCTTTTACAAAAAGTCCCAAATTTCAAATTTGGTAACATTTAGCATATTAAAATAAAATGCAAGTTCCAAGAAGACACTTTTTTTTTTTTTAAGGAAAACGAACATTCAGCCTATTTAGGGTCTTATGACTCTTCCATCCGCCTCTCTCACATCCTCTTCCCTCACCCCTTGCCACCAGGCAGGTAAGCCACTGCATCCTGATGTTCCCAGCCCGGTGATTTGCATGTCTATATCTATACAGATACTCCTGTGCACTGCACTTATTTCATGTCTCCTCCTCACTAGTCAGTGAAACTTAGAAAGGCAAAATCATGATTTAATGTCCTATGTGTCACCTACATCTAGAATACTGCCTAGCTTAGTGTGCTATCATCTAGAACACTGCCTAGCAATGTGGCTGCTCAGTGTGTGTGTGTGTGTGTGTGTGTGTGTGTGTCCACAGATATGCATACAAATGTATATACACATGTATATATACATATATGTATTTGCTAAATGAATGAAATACATTTCCAAAGTCTTATGCTACTAGGAATAGCTATCATTAATATTAATGATTGACAATCATTATGGTGAATTATTTTCATTTTTAGAAAAATATACACATGACTGTCAAAGAGAAAATATGTGACTCCTCACCAACATTAAATTCACAAAAATGAAAAATTTGCAATCTTCTATCAAAAATGATCTTTCTTTTCTATTTGTTTTGCATTTTGTTTTTGTTTTTTTACAATTACCTAGACGGTATAAAACCACACATTCTTTTCAACAATCTATACAATAAAGAGAAGGATGGAAAAGAAGAAAAATTGTGCGAAATCAATAGAAGTTATTTTAAGGGTAAGACCCTATAAAGGCAAAATAAAAGGTAGCCCACAGATGAAAATTAAAATGAGGTCAATAAAAGTGGCTACCCCAACATTAACAGCATTTAGCCAACCAAGAAGTCGCTCTTTGCCGAGAAATTTCATCGAAGCAATGTTTTATAATGTATTTGTTAAAATAACATGATTTAAAAATTTTCAGATTGCATTTGAAATATTTAATCCTTCAAATATTTATCATAAACCTATCAGTAGTCACTTTTCATATTTTTTCCATTCACTAAATTCTAACACTCTTGTTCATTTAATAATTAAGAATAGAGGTTAAGTAAACATGTTGGGCTCTTAAGGTAAGGCCTTGGGCCTTATAAGCCTGTAAGCTAGGATAAACTCATTAGACTACTTGACATTGACCGCAAACAGGCTCTGCCTGTGCTTTATGCTGCCCTGAGTGTGAGTCTGTAACATGTGTTCGGGAGGGGTGGTACCAGTTGGACCAGACGTACTTTTGGCCTTCTCACCTTCACTATCTCCAAACTATAGGCTCTTCTGGGCTGAACCATGAAACTAAATGAAAATTATCCCTACTATTATATTTATTTATTAATTTTTCTAATTCCATGTATCAGATTTTCTTACATCAGCAAACTGGAGTGAGTGACTGCTTAACTTCACTAAGTAGTGAAACCCTGATTGCTGCAAGATATAAACTACGTATCACATACACACCAAACGTGTACATATACACACAGATATTAGAGCTGTCAGAGATTGCCTTTGGATTGTACTGCAATAAATGATTTGTGCCTCCAAAACTGACTCTTGCAAAAGAACCGTGACCAATTTTTTTTCTCTTTTTAATGCTGTGGTGATGAGAAATGAAAAGAGAAGAATGATAGTTTCGCTAACCAGATGAAGAAGGAGTTTATCTCCCTGGCGTGACCCTAAACACTGTGAACAGCAGACATTTTGGTGAAATGGGCAGAGCAACCTTTTCTTGAGATGACTTAGCACAGACGCAACTAACTTGTTCCCTTTAAGGTCTTGTGAGAACACAGAAAACCGACAAGTATGTCCAAGGCATTTCACCGAGGGGGGTAAGATCGCTGGGCGGAAAAGGATTCCCCACGGAGAAGAGACGTGCCACTAGCAGGTCACCGCCTTCCAGCGCCCAGGGACGGCGGGAGGCAGGGGAAGGCCCTGATTGGCAGGCGACTCGGGACCCGGAGGCCGGCCGCAGGGCGCGCTCACCTGTGAACACATTCTGGAAGCCATCCGCAGCCGCGGGCGCCCCAGACGCCTTGGCGGCCAGTGCCGGGGACACCCCACCGCCGCGGTCAGCGGCCACCCCGCGCTCCAGCAGGTGCGCGGAGCCTCCCGCCCCGGGCGTGCGGGCGCCCAGCTCCTCCGTCCAGTCCGCCGAGCGGCTCAGGCCGCCCGCGAGGCCGCCGTCTACCCGGTGTTTCTTGGCTGGGGCGGCCGCGGAGGCCAGGGCAGTTCTGGACCCTTGGCTCTGGGAGGCCTCCGGCCGCCTCTTGATCCTGGGGCTCTGATTAGGGGACTGGGACGGGGAGTGATTGGGCGAGCTGAGCTGCCGGGTGGTGGTCTTGATGTAGCAGGGGGTGATGAGCGGGTAGGGCTTGAAGCAGCGCTGGCTGGGCGCGGGGCTGCCGGGCAGGGAAGCGGCCGCGGGGGCGCCAGGTCCTTGCGCCCCCTCCTCGGGCTCTTCCCCCAGCCTCTGAGGGGCGTCCTCTCCCACCTCCGGGGCCCACTCCTCCCCCGGAGAGCCCCGGGGCGCATCCTCAAAAGCATCCTCCTCGTCCTCCTCGTCCGTGTCCCCAGCCCCCCGCGCCGGGGCTCCGGCCGCTTCCTCCCCCGGTCCGGCCTCGGGAAACGGGAAGGCCGTGGAGGACGGCGAGTCTCTGGGCGCGGGTTGGGCCGCCGGGAGGCTGGGCGCCTCGGAGGCCGGGAGGCTGCCGGGGGACGGCGGCTGCTGGGGCGCCGGGGACTCGGCGGCCAGGCTTGCGGGCAGGTCGGAGAGCGCGGACAGCGCCTGCTCAGTGTCCGGACTGCCCGTGGCCTCCCTAGCCACGCCGCTCGGCCCCAGCAGGAACCGGTCCAGGCCCAGGAAGGCCCCGGGCTGAGGGGAGACGGCGCTGGGGGGCGCTGCAGGCTCCTCGGCCTCCTGGAGCTGCTGCGGCTGGAGCTGGAGCTGGAGCTGCTGCTGCTGCTGCAGGCGGATCGCCTGCTGGATGTCGGAAAGCAAGTCCTCCTGCTCCGTAGCCGAGTGGAAGCTGTAGATGTCCGTGTCCGAGCCCGAGCTGGTCCTTTGTCCATCCTGCGCCCCCGCGGCAGTTTCCACATCCTCGGCGATAGGCCGGCCCCCGACCCTCGCCTCGGCAGGCCCAGGCACCCCCGGCCGGGTCACCTCAAAAGGGTCCGCGCACTCGGTGTCCGACAGGCCGGTCTCGTCCGCCGACAGGCTGAGGTCCGGAGTCTTGGTGAGCAGGGAGTGAGCGCTGTCCAGCTCCCCGGTCTGCAGGGCCTGGGAATCCAGCACATCTTCGCGGGAGCCGCCGGCGCCTTTCCCCTTGGACAGATTCTTCCGGATCCGCAGGTTGGAAAACACCGAGGCTTTGGAGTCCGACTTGCTCTTCTTCTTGCCCGACTCCCCGCCGCCACCCCCTCCCCCCTTGCCGTGCTTGCCCAGCGCCTTCTTGCCCCCGCTCCCCTTCTTTGTGGCTTCCACGTCCCTGGGCCCCAGCGCATCCTCGGTGCCGCCGCCGCCGCCTTCGTGCGAGGCATCACCTGCGCTCCTCTTCAGCTTCCCGTCCTGGTTCCCCATGGTGCAATCCCGCTGCTGCGCCGCCGCGCCGCGGGCACTCAGGCCATCGCGGCCCTCCTCGGCCCCGGGCCCGGGCCGGGGGAGTCTCCCGGGAGAGTCAGGCGGCGGCGGGGCGAGCCGCTGGGAGGGGAGGCCGACGCGCGCCCGGCTGGCCCCGCTCGCATCTGCCGCCGCTTTGCATAATGTGCGGCGGCTCCCGTGGCTGCAGTCGCTGCGGCTGCGGCTGCGGCTCGGGGCCGGCGGGGCGCGAACATGCTCAGTGCAGAGCGCGGCGCCCGCCAATGGCTGCGCAGGACGCAGCCTGGGCCTGGTTCCCCGCCCGCCGCCGCCGCCCCCTCGGCCCCCGCGCGGCTCCTCGCGGAACCTAGGCGCGAAAAACGTTTCCTCTATCTCAGGGACTTTAATCTCCACCGTGCGAATCGAATGCATTGTCCCCGGCTGAAGAGCTTGTCTGCTGGAAGATGCACTCCGATCTTCAGAGCTGCTGGACCTGCCACGAGAAAAGTTAAACAAAAAAGAAGACATTTTTACATGGGGAAGAACTGAAGCCCAATTCCAGTTCAGAGGTGCCATCGTGTCACGGCCACATACACAACCCCCTTGCCTGCCTCTGCATGACTGTTCAATAACTATTTGCTGAATGAATGGATTGTTCTGTTTCTTGAATTATTGATCATCTCATTGAACACTGTTAATGTGCTTGAACACATGGTTTAAGAAAGGTTACTACACGTGGTGCTGCTTTTATGTTTGACACACAGACCCTGCTTCTTCAGGAGAGGACATTCGCTGTCATTTCTAAAGCTGGTTTCTGATTTTTTTTTTTTTTTTTTT